GCAGTTTGTATACATGGGAATAACTATTCAATGGTTCATAGCGGGACAATATCGAGTTCGAACATAAATAGCATGATCCGAACCTAGCCCAGTAACTGGAAACAGATAAACAGAAACGTGTGATGACCAGGGAATACCGCCTGCAACTGATTGAAGTGAGCGTGGTTAAGTGTGAAAATTACGCGAATTTTACGTGGAATATAAAGTAAGACAGGTCTCAGAAATAAGAACAAGTAGTCTTCGAATCCAATGGTCCCTCACAGAAAACTCAACTTTCAGCACTAAGGAAAACAAACAAGTGGTAATTCACACATCTCAAATGAACAGTGAAACGTGACGATGACAGTAAAAAAAGCTAGTTCTACTAAATGGTTAATAATTCTGACAGCCAGTGGATTGGTTATAGGCAGTGAGAGGCAAACCAAGTGCAATAAAGACAAAAATAGACATGCTCATAGGACTTGCGGAAAATATAGTATATTCATGCTTACATAAATGGGAGCTCGACGAGAAATCATTCGATACAGACTGACTGATTAGTTGAGATTGAGCAGATTTAGCATACTCGTTCTGAATGGAATTGAACTGATATATGGACTCAATGGCAAGTCGATTGTCAAGTTCCTTCTTAAGGTTATGTCGTTGATCACGCTCAATCTGAAGAGATTCCAGAGCTTCTTCGAGAGACTTTTCAGTGATACGCTTCAGACGTGTTATCTCTTCTAATTGCGCATGAAGGAGATCATTCTCTTCCTGGCCTCTTTTCATTTCATGTTTAAGACTTTCAAATTCAATCTAAAGGCAATTGCGAAATAAAGGGGTAGTACTTGACTGGTTTTCAGCGCCAGGACACTCTTTTGAAGGTCTAGATTTTCCGATTCGAGCTCATCAAGTTCACTCAGAAGACTGCTCTCTTTAGCTTTGAGAGCTTTAATTTCTTGCTTCAGTTCAATGCGGTGACGCTCCACTTCTTCGTACTTCGCTTGGATATCTTGAACCATTTGATGGAGTTTGTCATTTTCCGCCATTTGCTGTTCAAATTTAAGTTTTGTACTTTTTACGTCAAACTCCAGATCCTTTATTCTATTCGAAAGCTGCTCTTCACGATTAACAGAATTGCTGAGTAGGTCATCTTCCTCTTGGAAACCAAATCTGCTCATTTTTCTATGAAGCTCACTTTGCTCATCGCATTTCTAAAGCGGTCAAAAGCTTATAACTAACGAACTTCTTGGGTCAGTTGTAATTCACGCTGCAGTCGGATCAGCTTGTCTTCCGACTCCTCCAACTTGGCTTGGAGATTTTCTTTCTCCTCCAAGAGCCTGAGACCATACTGGGCAGCGTCGTATT